AACAACTTTACTTTTTATATTTTATTATATTTATATCTCTTTCCTAAATATAAAAATAGATTTAAATCTTTCCAAATACTAAAATAAATTACCAATTAAAATTAGGTAATTGTTTAATTAAAAATTTATTTAATGATTTAAAACATCTTGATAAAATAAATGAGAATTGATAAATTATCAATCAATATGTTAAGATGTTTCAAATCATTTATAGATAAAATAATAAAATAATTTACCAAATAATAAAATAAGTTACCCATTAATATAAATCCGATAAGTTACCAAACAAAATAAATTATCAATTAAAATTAGGTAATTGTTTAAATAGATAATTGTTTATTTGAAATTCAATCAAGATGTTTCAAATCATTTATAAACAAAATAATAAAATAATTTACCAAATAATAAAATGAGTTACTAATTAAAATAAATCCTATAAGTTACCTATTAAAATAATTCCTATTATGCTCAGAGTCTTGAAGATTAAAACAACTTTACTTCTTCTATTTTATTCTATTTCAAACTCTTTCCTAAATATAAATATAGATCTAATTATTTTCAAATAATAAAATAAATTGCCAATTAAAATTAGGTAATTGTTTAAATGAAAGATTTATTTAATGATTTGAAACATTTTGAAAAAATAAAAGAAGATTAATAAATTACCAATCAAGATGTTTCAAATCATTTATAAATAAAATAATAAAATAATTTACGAAATAATAAAATAAGTTACAAATGAAAATAAATCCAATAAGTTACCAATTAAAATAAAAAGTTACCAAATAAAATTAAATAAGTATTTGTTGAATTGAAATTCAATCAAGATGTTTCAAATCATTAAATAAATTACAAATTAAAATGAAATAGGTAATTGTTTAATTGAAATTCAATCAGAATATATGTTTCAAAACATTTATAGATAAAATAATAAAATAATTTACCAAATAATAAAATAAGTTACCAATTAAAATAAATCATATAAGTTACCAATTAAAATAATTCCTATTATGCTCGGAATTCTTCAAGGTTTAAACAATTTTACTTTTTCTATTTTATTCTATTTCTAACTTTTTCCTAAATAATAAATTAAAATAAGAGAGTTTTTATAAAACTATTAGAACAACTAAAACAAGTTATGTATATTAAAATAATAAAATAACTTACCAAATAATAAAATAAGTTACCAATTAAAATAAATTCGATAAGTTACCAATTAAAATAAAATAGGTAATTATTTAATAAAATAATTTACAAAATAATAAAATAAATTACCAATTAAAATTAAATAGTTAATTGTTTAATTAAAATTGAATCAAGATGTTTCGAATTATTAAATAGATTATAAATTAAAATTAAATAAGTAATTATTTAATTGAATTTCAATCAAGATGTTTCAAATTATTTATAGATAAAATAATAAAATAATTTACTAAATAATAAAATAAGTTAGCAATTAAAATAAATCCTTCAAGTTACCAAAATAATTTCTAAGATGATACTTTTTATTATGAGGTCCCTGCTATCCTTATATAACTTTCCATAATAGATTTACTGCTCTTTACTTTTATCCTGTTATATTGATATATACTGCCTCTTTATACCTGTGTAGCGCATATGACATTCAGTTTTTTAATTTACAACTACGAACAGAAAATTAAAAAAGAAGATATATAAAACTTACAACAGAAAGAAACAATGATAAGTTTGAATATTATCGTTGAATTAGTAATGGGATTCCCATTCTGTTGATTTTAGCTTTTAAATTAGCAACGGCAGCTTTATTGAATAAAACCCAACTTATTGAATAAAACCCACTTTCGTAGTTGCTGCACAATTTTCCGAACTTGCAATTAATTGTACCTCATGCCATAACAAAAAGAACAAATTTGAGACGTTGAAGGGAATCGATTCCACAGCATGCATCGGTTTTGTTACTAACTTATGATCCTTTTTCATTTCCATCACAATTGTAATTGGCATATATTTTTCTCTCTCTCTTTCTCTTTCATCTTAGGTGGGATTTAACTGATTTGTCAGTAGCATTCTTATTGTCGTGTTGTGGTAAATTTAAGAAATGGTACTGTTGTAGTTTTGTGGAGTCCGATTAGGTAGAAGATTTATGTGAAAACTTCAAGAATGCTAATTTTAGTGAAAATTCAGTTTCCTAATCTGATTTGACTTCCTTATTGATTTAAGGAAAATTCGGTTTCCTGATCTGATTTAATTTCCTTATTGATTTTGGATTCTACAAAAGACAAGTTCTTATAGGACAAGTTTGGGACCCTATAAATAGGAATGAAAATGAGAGATAAATGTGTGCCAATATAAGAAAGAAATGAATGTGCTCCATGGACGTAGCCCTTTTCAAAGTGAATTTGTTCGATGTGCTCCATGGACTTAACCCTAAGATTTGAGTGAACCATGTATATCTTGTGTTCTTGTGTGTGATTTTTTTTTCTTTTGTGATTGCTTGATTATTCCTCGAACAATGTGCGTTGTTATTTTACGTTTCTGCCACAATAATTTGTTATTTTGCGTTTCTGCCACAATAATTTGACAGGTACACCTAATGGAATGTGCATTGCAACTCTAACAGGTACACCTAATGGAATTGAGTTATTTTTTTTTATCAGAAGGTGAGGTAGGTGTAGCTAGTAGTATAACTTTTTCTTGGGTGAAATCACTTAAATGTGAAAAATAATATTGCTAACAATCTAAAAAAAATATCTAGTGAAACACACCATACCTTTGCTTAGCCAGGCTCCATTAGTAGTAGGTAGTAGTGGCACTGGAAGAGATTTCTAAGTCCCATGAGAATCCCAATTAGACGTCCTGGCCCCATTGATGCCTACTCGTTTAGTTTGATTGATGAGGATGCCAAGAGTATTCAGCCAGGGAATTTTGAGCGCCACTGGGGGATATTTACATTCGATGGGCTAGCCAAGTACCAGCTTAACCTCGGTACCACGAATTTGGGAGTTTAGTCCCGGCAAAGGGTGTGCAGTATCTAGAGTGAAAGTGGTGTGTGATAAAGCCATCAGTAAGGCCTGATGAGTAAGGCCTGATGATCCAGACGTGGCACCGAGTGTGAACTATGCTTGTGGACGTGCTGACTGCACAAGCTAGCCTGGGCTACCAGACAACTTGTGGGAATTTGGATGCTAAGGGGAACATTTCATATGCATTTAATAGTTACTACCAGATAAATAATCAGCTTGAAAAAGCGTGCAAATTTCCGAACGTTTCAATGGTCACAAAAACAGATTCTTCAGTCGGAAGTTGTAGATTCATGGTCATGATCCAACCGTACCATGGGAGTGCTGAAAGGAGATTGTGCAGTATTCAACAAACATGGGGTTTTGCAGTAGGCCTCAATTCTCTTTTTGTGGAGGGTTCTGTGAGCTCTTGTTTAATCTTAGTAGTCTGTTTTATAGGAATAGTTGTATAATAGTAGGGGGAGTAACTTATGTGTAGCATAAGCCAAAATCCAATTCTAATTTTGCAATCTAAAAGACAAAACATTTACAATTCTTAGGTAGGATTGCAGATAGGTTTGCTTCAAAGTCTTCTTTGTATGGTAGATGGAGTTTATGAATGAATATTTCTGCTAGGCAGGTTTTAATTGAAGTATGGGTTGATGATGATGATTTGGTATAACATACGCTGATGTGAGAATGTGGAGTTTAGTGTATATTCTTTGGAATGTTGAGGGTTACAATGTGGGCTCAACATTGAGAGAAGTAATTTTTGTTCAAATAATGTCAAATGCTAAATTTGTATTTAGTTCATCTCTTTTGGCACCATCAATTTATAAATTTGAATCTAGTTCATCTTTTATGGCACCATCAATTTATGGAACCAGCAATTTCCTTTCAAGGTATCCAGAAGGTCAAAACTTCTATTTTTAGGGGGAAAAAAATTATATTATGTTTGGAAAAATAAAATTGGGAATGTAATCTTCGAGAGAGCATCGAATTTCATATATACTTGTGTGGTGTCAAAAGGAAAATAATGAAAGCATGTATTATTATCGACTGACGTGAACACTTTGAAAGGAGAGAAATATATTCTTATTCATCACTAATTAAAAGTTTTTGTTGGACAATAGTAATTGAAATAACCATAAAAGATTAGCACCTTGCCCAGAGAGAGAGAGAGAGAGAGAGAGTTTCACATGTACTTATTTGGTGGCAAAAGGAAAATGATGAAAGTATTCAATATTATCGACTAATGTGTCCATCGTTAATTTGAACATTTTGAAATGAGAGAGATATGTCTTTATTCATCACTAATTAAGAATTTTTGTTGGACAATAGTGATTGAAATAGCCATTGAAGATTAGCACCTTGCCGAGAGAGAGAGAGCATCGAATTTCACATATACTTTGTATGGTGTCAAAAGAAAAATGATGAAGTATTATTATCGATTGATATGTCCATCGTTAATTTGAACACTTTGAAATGAGAGATATATGTCCTTATTCATTATCAATTAAAAGTTTTTGTTGGACAATAGTGATTAAAATAGTAAAAAATATCAATCATTACTAATAAAGAGTTTTTGTTGGACACTAATGATTGAAATAGCCAAAAAAAAAAAAAAACAATCGTCGGCAGATATGAGCAGGATGCAAAGTTTAGCACCAAGGGTGAATTTTGAAGTCATACTACAGCCCAACCTCAAGTTGAAAAGGGCCAACTAATTGGGCCTTCCTTGTCCATAAGTTTCCTTAAGACACAAGGTCCAAGAGGCCCACACATCCACTAACAGACATACGGACTGCTAAATAAATGAAGAATTAAGTACCTAACATTAATATTTCTCATGAATGTGTGTAATTAATTTAGGATTAACCACATCCACAGTCACACGCATGCTACTATGCATAATGAGCCATGATGAACCAACAATCATTTGCCTCACCTTTGCTTTCTAATTACATCACCAAGTCTCCTCTACACACACACACACACACACACACACACACACACATATGTACCACTATTTTTTTGCATTAGCAAGTTCAACTTGTGTTTATTGCAGTTCTAGTTCTCTAATCTCATGCAGGTCTGCATTTCTTTCCAAATCTCTTTTCTTCTTCTTTTTTTTTTTTCCCAACTGATATTTAAGCTGAATTATGAAACTAATAATAAATATATGTTGTACTGCAGGTTATTGAGCTAAAGGTACGCCTACACTGCAAGGCATGTGAAAAGTCTATCCGAAAAACCTTGGGCAAGATCAAAGGTATGCCAATTTATTTATTTTCTCATTCATTTTTAAGAACAAACGTGTCAAACTTTATGCCCCAAAATGTGACACCATATTTCAAAATGTCATATAAATATAGATGTTAAGACGTGTATATATAGAATGTCACCAGTAGTCTTGTAGACTAGTTGAGACTTTATAGGCTGGCCAGGCAGCACATTACACAGAGACACACACACAGGCATGCACTGTTATGTAGTATATATGATATATATGTATTTACAGGGGTAACGTGTGTGGAAATAGATTTGGTGTTGAACAAGATCACGGTGTTGGGGTATGTGGACCGCAAGATTGTGATCAAAGCTGTTCGTAAGACGGGGAGAAGAGCTGAGGTTTGGCCTTCTAAGTCTTCATGTCGCGGCCGGCAGCAGCCTCGTGGTGGTTTTGGTTGCATCATCCCCAGATGGGTTTTCTAAGGATCCATCCATCATTTTAATGTATTAATAATACTTTGATTTCCTTTTTGCTGCAATTCTAAAATGTTTGCAAGTCCAAGCAAAATTTATATTTTCTCATTATGAATATGTTGCGTTGTGTTATGTCTTAACTTAATACGGAGTAACTATTAACTGGACAAAAAAAAAAAAATGAAGACTTTAATTAGGTTTCATTTCATTGGAATTGAAGTTATATGGTTCAAACTTTAAAGTTAATATTGAAAGTATTTTTTGTTTGATTCATTCTGTTTTTGAGTCTTCCAAAATAAAATAAAAAATAATCTAGTCTACGTCCATATTATGTAATTTGAAATAAAAAAATGTTATAAATTCACCAAAAATATAGGTAAAATAGGAAGTCCAACATTTCCACTCACTCGATGAAACGAGAACAGTAATATTTAAATTTAATTTGTTTTTAACTAAAATACAATAACAAAAATATTTGAACGAATATATATATTTTTATCATTTTTGGATGTTTGTAACGAAAATATTAGACAATTGCTATCATTCTGAGAGATTGTATTTTATTGGGTGTCTATATCTATTGATGTGGTAGAAGAATCTTGTTAAACTCTCTATTCATTGAAATCGCAACAAAAACGAACCCGTCCCTTTTATGTATCCGTTACTCTTTAAGTAGAAAAAAAAAAATTAAAAAAAAAAAAAAAAATCAGACCGACGTATAAATAATTGGACCAACAAAAACAACACATGAAATCAACATGGACAAAACATTGCATCATCCAAAATGCTTCATCATCTGATCGGACAGTTCACATCTATTGCGAGCACCTCCCTGTCAATCTCGGATGTCAACAGTAGAGTCAAAGATTTGGTTTTGAAAGGACTGTATGTAGACACTAAAATTTAGTGGACTTTGGTTTTAACGAATGGACCCATTAAATATATGCCTAATGTTTAAATAAATTATTTAATTTACCTGGCTTGATCCACTTAAATTATTTAATTAGCCCAACCCAGATAATTAAATGAAACGATAATTATTCCTAGTAAAATATATTTTGAATAATTATCTTTAAGAATAATTATCACAATATAACCGGCCCGACTCAGTTATAGTTTTATCCTTTTCAGGAGATGACACGTGTCATCATCCTATTAATCCAAGAAGCCTATAAATAGAGGCCTGGAAAAAGGGGAAGATGGAGAATTCAGAAGTCTACAAATTCAGACACAAATTCAGAATTCAGAAGTTCAGAGACTCAGAAATCCAGAGACTCAGAATTCAGACACAAATTCAGAATCGAAACTCAAAAGCGAAGAATATCAAGCACATACAACAACGTGCCGTTCTTCATCAAATTCCACAGTGATTCAAGAACAAGCTCGTGCAGCCCTTGGATCCAACCAACCAAAAACAATGAGATCGAATCAGAGGACCATTCTTTTTTTTGTAAAAGATATTACAAAGGACTGTACTCCACATTCATAAATTAATAAAATTCTATTTTGCTCCATATTTTGTTTCTATTGCAGACTTACAAAACTTGTGTGTACAAAATTTGTGGCACGCCCGGTGGGACAACCTTTGCCTCTCATCTCTTTCTCCTACCATCAAGTTTCTTCTCTATCAGATTCTATGGCTCCCCCTAAGATTCAGACAGACAAGAAAGCCCAAAAGAACATCGCTATTGCAAAGGTCGACGCTAAAGCCACCATGAAAAGTGGCACGAAGACCAAATTAAGCGATGGAAGTACCTTGACGGGCCCTGTGACACGTAGCAAGTCCCAGGCGATGGCGTCATTCAAACTTCAGCAAGATGTGGTGAAAACTAATCCTACAACACCGGCGAACGTGAAAACTCAACATGTCAAAAACCTTGACATTGTTCCAGAGGACGCTCCACCACCAGATTCACTTCGTTCTATCTATGATGCTCACTCTAGTGTCGGTTCACCCCTAGAGTCACCACGTCAGACTTCGGAGCAATCAATCACTTCAAGGAACGTGGATTCTCAAGGCCTATCATACTCAGATGTGGTTGCTGCTATGATGACTGGAGCTGCTACGGTGGAGGAACAACTAGCAACTATGGCTCATTCCATTGAGAACCTCACAAAGACTATTGAAGAGAAGGACTTGCAAATTGCTACACTAATGAATAAATTGGAAGTTCAGACCTTCGGTGAAACACCAATGCCATTCGGGAATCGGGCAACTTTCACACCACCACCGTCTGGGAAACCTACATCTTCCACAGCAATACTAACGGAGAATCCTAATTCTACAGCACAAGGTACTCACAGGGAGAATCCCAAACAGACGCCGGTGACAGAACAAGCGACCAGTCAAAACCAGACGCCGGGGATAGAACAGGCGACTGGTCAAACCAATCATACCTCTTCTTCAGTCTCTTCATTATCTGTTGAATAATTGCAAGATATGATAATGAATACAATCTGAGCTCAATATGGTGGTGTCTCACAGAGCACTCTCATGTACTCAAAGCCCTATACAAGGAGAATCGACAGTATGAGAATGCATGTAGGATACCAACCTCCGAAGATTCAGCAATTTGACGGAAAAGGTAACCCCAAGCAACACATTGCCCATTTTGTCGAGACTTGTAACAATGCCAAAACAGAGGGGGACTTACTAGTCAAACAGTTTGTCCGGTCCCTTAAAGGAAACGCGTTCGAGTGGTACACTGACCTAAAGTCAGAATCAATTAATAGTTGGGACCAGATGGAACGAGAATTCTTGAACAGGTTCTATAGCACTCGTCGTACTGTTAGTATGATAGAGTTGACTAGCACGAAGCAATGGAAGGATGAGCCTGTAATCGACTACATTAATTGGTGGAGAGCCCTCAGTCTTGACTACAAGGACCGTTTGTTAGAAGTATCTGCTGTGGAGATGTGTATGCAGGGAATGCATTGGGGCCTGTTCTACATTCTGCAAGGCATAAAACCTCACACATTTGAGGAATTGGCTACGCGTGCCCATGACATGGAGATCAGTATGAAATCCCATGACGGCAAAAGTCCCGTGACTATAGAACCACGCAAAGATAAGAAGGACTGGAAGAAGGGCGACAAGTCATCAAAAAATACGGCTAAAGATTCAATGGCTATCTCAACCACCCCAATCAAGATATCTGTTAAAGATGACAAGAAGGATAATAAAAAGCCTCGCCAGTTTTAAGAGAGGGAAAGACAGCGTCCCACGCTAAAGGAGTTAGAGAAGAAAGAATACCCCTTCCCCGATTCCGATGTTCCTGGCATCTTGGAATGTTTATTTGAAAGTAAAGTTATAGAACTCCCTGAATGCAAACGTCCTCCAGAGATGGGACGTATCAACGATCCAAAATACTGCAAATATCATCGCATTATCAGTCATCCAATTGAGAAGTGTTTTATTTTCAAGGAGGTGGTGATGAATCTGGCAAAAATAGGGAAAAATCTTGTTGGATACAGACGAAGTTGTAACTTCAAATCATACTACTGCTACTTTGACAACCTCTGTCGTGGGGAGTGCTCGTTCTCAACCTTTAACTTCGGAGGTATCTTGCACAACTATCCAGTTTGGTTCATTGGAACCAATCCCAATCTATATTGGCTAAGGGAGTGTACGTGACATTTCAACATTTGGAAGGGTTTTTCATCAGGATGATGAAGAAGGATGGACTCTGGTGACAAGAAAGAAACCACGGAAGCAACAAGCTGATATTTTTCAGACTAATTATTCTGACATAGGGCAAAGGAAGAAGAAACCCCAATATCACCATAAATAGTCTGGCCATAACAGAAAATGGGTCAAGAAGACACAGTCAACTAAACACACCTCTATAAGCAAAAAGAGTCAGAAGCCTATTACTTTGCAAGAGTTCTTTCCAAAAGGATACCTAAATGACGAAGTTGTAACAACTTACATGGTTTTAACTAAGAAAACAAGCCTTAATGATAAGAAGAACGAGGATCAAGATGAAGTCCAGACTGTAGAGAACCATAATACAGCCATCATTGAAAAATCTGATGATGATGAAGTGGTCAGAGGTACGTTTGAGTCATGTTGTGCACCAATTGTTTTCACGGACGAGGATCTTCAGTTGGGTTCGAAGCCGCACAATTGTCCTCTCTTCGTCTCCGGTTACATAAAAGAACGAAGAATTACTCGTATTCTTGTTGATGGTGGCTCGGCGGTGAATCTAATTCCAAAATTTACGATGAAAAATCTTGGCATCACAATTGACGAGTTATCGCGTAGCCGTCTTATTATTTAAGGTTTTAACCAAGGAAGACAGAGAGCTATCGGCATGATTTGGGCAAAGCTAACTATTGGCGAGCTCCAAGCAGAAACCTTATTCCATGTGATTGATGCAAAGACGTCCTACAATTTGTTGTTGGGAAGGCCTTGGATACATAGTAATGGCGTCATTCCATCGACTCTTCATCAGTGCTTCAAATTCTACAAAAATGGCGTACAAACGGTTGTGGCGAATCATAAGCCATTTACAGAGGCAGAATCTCAATTTTGCCGATGCCAAGTTCTATGTCGATCATGATACACCTTCGGAAGTGCCCATCCCAAGCCTTCCGTCTACACAAGAGATTCAATCTACAAAAGCAAAAGAAGCATTAAGTGATCCACTAGACGTTTCAGTGACAGACATTATAAAGGTAGCTAAAACGCGAGGGGTCTCGATAAAAGCACATCGGACGAAACCTATTTTAAAGTATGTTCCAAAATCTCAGCGACAAGAAGGGCAGGCACCTGTTATCGAGATAATTGAAACTAAGGAATTTAAATTAAAGATGTCACAAACCAAGGAAAAAGAAGATATGCAAAAGCTTAAAGGAGAGTTAACTCTTCCTCTCCCTAAGATTCAGAAGTCTTCGCCTTCCAAGTCTCTGTTAAGAAGGTTCGTGCGGTCTTCTCAATCTATGGTTGATCATTTATCACTTCCAAAACAAAGGACCGATGAAGGATTCGATCCTAAAGCATACCAACTCTTGGCTAAGTCGGGGTATGATTTTACAAATCCTGCAAGCCTTGGAAAACTGAATGCTGAGGTCACCGGTGAGAAGGTGCACGGCCTCAATGAGACACAAAAGAAGTTGAAAGATCAAGGGCATAAAATCA